ATGAAGTGTCTGCCAAAACACATATAGTTGTCGCGGCGAATGTTTCAAATTGCGTCATCAAATTCTGAACCAAGCACAGACATTACAATTATTGTTGTTGTTTTCTTTTACGTAGTAATCCAAGAAACCGTTGGAAATATGTCAAGAAATATGTCAAGAAATCGGTTTTTGACATTCGACATTGATGACGCAATTTGAAACATTCGCCGCAACGACTATAGACAAGCCACATCCTTAAAGCCGGGTCTACAATTGTCGCAGGGGTCCGATCGCAGAACATAAGCTTGCGCAAAGCACCCCGAGACGTGGCGATGGAGCAACATTCTTTTGTCAGCTAGGTGCTTTGCGCAAGCTTATGTACTGCGATCTGCCGGGTCTACAATTGTCGCAGGTCGCAGAACATAAGCCTGCGCAAAGCACCCAGCGACGTGGCGATGCAGCAAGGTTATTATGTCAGCTGTCTACAATTGTCGCGCGATGAGCATTCGTTGTCCACAGTGTTGCCGTTTTCAAGTATGCATAACGGATCTTTTTAGCAGCCCAGTTATCATTTTCCTTTTTTGAATAGAGCAAACTTTTACTATTTTTATTAACTTTCGTCTATAAATAGCAGGCCATATTTGTTATTCTTAATTATTTTATAACAACCCAAAATTACAAGGTAATTTCAGAAAATTTAATATAAGAATTAGGTAGGTAGTATTTTACCTGAGAATAAATGATGTTAAAGCAAAAATTAGTTTGTTTTCATAATATATACTTTTAAGAAAACAAGTTGGATTGAAAAAATAGTTAAGATAATACTAAAATCATTTAAAATAAAATAAAATAAATAAATATAAATATAAAGTATATTTTTTGGAAATAATTTATGAGAATGACACTAAAAAGTTTAAAAATAACCCCAAAATATGAAAAGAAACTAAATAAAATAAAAGGGAATAGGGAGGGAAAGCAGAAAGACAAATAGGTTCTGCAGTGCATGATAGTTTCATACTGATGCTAATAGTTTCAACTTGAGATTAGATTTTTGTGTGTGCAGAATCTGCACACACAAAAATCTAATCTCAAGTTGAAACTATTAGCATCAGTATGAAACTATCATAGTCATGAATAGGAGCAAGATTAGTGTATGCTATAGTTAAAATTACCTTTTCTTTAACATTTATACCATATGTATACCAACTTTGTATTTAACTTGAGAGTACTTATGTTATATATAGGTGTAAATTTAAATTTAAACTCGATTTAATATTAGCCTTAACTTCAATGTAAAACTATCTTATGGATCTATTTAGAATTGGTTTTATTTAGATTAAATATAGTTTAAGTTCAAATTGAAAATAATTATTATATATGTTAATATAGCTTGTCTTTTATCGGAGTAAAACTATTTTTTAATTGAGACATATGTAGTTTAAGGTTTAAATAAGAATATGCTGGGCAGCCCAATTTCAATATTAACATATATATAAATATATTGAAATTAGGTCTTGTTTTAGGTTAAATTGAATTATACTTACTGTAAGTGTAACACTTATCATACTTATCTTTTTTTTTAATTTCTTTATTTTTAGATTACTATATTTATTTTTAAATGAACATTAAAAATTACCAGTAATTCGTTTGAATAATAAAAAAATTGCAGGGCTCCCACGGAAAAATTACAAATTTTATTTAGGAATTTAGGAGGTTTTTTTGTAAAATTTTAGGAGAAATAAAGTATGGAAATGAATTTCTTTAATTAAATAAAAACAACTCTATACCTACTACTTCAAAAATAAGGAAAAAATTAATACTTGTTTTGTAAAAATAAGTTATATTGACTAGTTTTTTTAGCCCCATCGCTCGACGAGTTTTTTTTAAATAAAATTAAAAGTGAGGTAAAATTACTACTTTTGTATATATCTGAGGTACATACATATATATACAAGTATAAATTTCACCACACTTTTAATTTTATTTTAAAAAAAGCGTCGATAGATTTGGTTTAAAAACTATGCCAAAATCATATGATGTTATATTTATATTTTAAGAAAAAATATGTTAACCGTTTAGTTAATAACTAACAGTAATTAAATCGGTAAGATTAATAATAGTACAAGTCCAAAAGTAAAATGTTTGATAAAATATTTTAAAAAATCAGTTTTATAGTTCTAAATGCATTTTTGTTAGACTATTTTATGAAATATAATATTCATATTCTGTAAAATATTTTTTTTTTCAAGCGGCCATGATATACAACCTTGTATGCCTATATAGAGATAGTTGAAGTGCGTCTTTTTCATTAGCGGCAGACAAAAAACTCAAAAAAGCCTAGGGATAGAAGTAAATCCATAGGTGTCTCAATAGACGTCAAATATTAAAATTAATTTAGCATTTCATACAAAGCAATCACGATGTATTAATTATATTAATTATAATCGCACGGAATATTTAGTGATTATTTATTAAATTTTAATTGAACGAAACAAAGAACAACTGGTTTATTAGTATAATATTATGATGATAGACGAGTCGCCAATGTCGGAACTCCAAACAAATGTCAGTACGTCAAAATTAATTCAAGCGCAGCATTTTGACAGAGCAGTGTTTATTTTTAGTTAAAGGCTTTGTTATCTATGGTTTAGGATATTTATCGGCATTGTAAGTAAGGGTTATAAGTTTTTTTAGTTTTTAACAATAATTTATAATGCTTTTAGCCAAAATTTTATACCACATAAATTATGAGTAAATAAAATAATTCTATTGCTTATCCTATTTATATTACGCCCTTGAAAAAAAAATTGTATATGTTATTTGGAGTAGAAGCTCTTTTTGTGCTTCGTACAGTTGCCTGCCTCAGCTACGCTTCGGCCGCCAATCTCTGTACTCACCACAAAAAGAGTCACTTCTACTCCTTATGACATAATCTACTATTGTCTTCTCACAAAAATGTATTTTAAACCTTAAAATTGATTTTAGAAAATAAATTGTCAAAATTAAATTTTTGGACTTGTACTGTTCTTATTCTCACCGATTCAATTGTAATGTGTATCTTAATACTTAAAAATCTCATAACAAAATATGAAGTTTGCAAAATACAGCAAAACATTTTTTAGATTGTTTACTATTTTAGCTGTAATTTAAAATAAATTTAAAAATCCTTTTGTTTGATATACCTACACGTTTGTATAACACGGTATATTTTTGACTAAAAAACGAAATATCGTTGTTGTTTTTTAAGAAAAATTTTGGTTGTGGTATTATATCATTTTAAAAAGAGTTTAATAGAATAGAACCTAAAAATATATATTTTTAAATTACTTTTTAAAACAGAATTTTTTTTAGCACTACCTTAATTAAACGCAAGTCAGGTTGGAATATTTAAATTTAATTTTTAGGATTTTAGGAGTTTTAGGAGATTGATTGCCATTTTAGGAGAATTTTAGGAGTTTTCAAGATTTAAGTAAAATTTTAGGAATTTTATGAGTTTTAGGAGTTGTGGGAGCCCTGAAATTGTAAAAAGGATTTGTTCAACATTTTCTTTAGATATTTTTCTCTATTTAAAGAAAATAATCATTTAACAATTATTAAAATTAAATATTAACAACGTTGATAAATTCGTCATATTGACAGCATAGAAAAAGGTTGACAGCTTGTTGTTTTGTGTTTTATAATCTGTGGTTTTCGTTAGTGTATTTCTATCGTGTTTTATTGAGTTTAAATACATTATTTTTTACTAAAAATGGTGCGACAGTGTACTGTTTGTAAAAAAACAAACCAAAGAAATCCAAATCTATCCTTTCATAGGTAAGTAAGCAATGTTTACATATCATACGTCACTGGAAGAAAACATAAAATTCTATATCCAATTTAACGCTTAGACTGTGACCGTTTGTTGACGTCACTGGAAGAAAACATAAAATTCTACAGAAAATTTAAAAGTAAACGACGTACACTAAATGTATAAAACGAAGTCTGTAATTGAATATTTTAATGCATTTTAACCAAATTAAGTTGGCAGGAATTGTACGAGAAACAATTATAATATCGTTCATATAAACAAGAACAAAAGAATAAGCAAAATTCTTTTATAACAGCTAGTTTGCAAACAGATGGTGCATACTTTAAACAGAATGGTTAGATACTGCTATTGCCCATCTGGGGTGACAAACACGGTAGGGCGCCACAAAGTCTACCAATTTGATCGGCAATAAGAGGCAGTACTGTATTATTGTTTAATTCGCGATAATTTATGTAAAAACGATCAGATCTATGTTTCTCTTTAACTAATAAGATTTGGCTAGCAAAAGTAAATACTGGTCCGAATAATAATTACGAGCCTTTTATAATTTGTTTATTTTATTCTTTACTATTTGTCGCTTATCTGAACTTAAACAATATGACCGTCTCTGAAAAGTTATAATAGTATTAATTAGAAGTATTTTAATCTCATCGGTGGCGATCTTAGTAAATTATAGACAATAAAAACAATACATCCAAAAGACAAAACCTTAGTAAAACTACAAATCTAGGATATTATTCCAATTAATTTTAAAACTATTGGACGTCAGGTTAACATGAAAACCTTGACAAATAATTTCACAGCCAATCGTAGATGAAATGACATTACAATATCACTTTGCAATTAAGCAGGGTATTACATGGAATATAGTTTCTAAGGTATAATTGTTATTGACTATTTTAAACAGTATTTGTAGAGTGCTATAAATAGTAGTGTTCCCAATGCCTCTCAAAACAATAAAATTCTTAACTCTTTTACCTGAGAACTTGGAGGTTACAATTTCTTTAATAAGCGAATATCGGTAAACAAGTCAAAACAGAATAAATACGACTCACCAGATTGAATAAGCGAGCCGGTTGGTTTGACCACTCTTACCCTTTTCTCTCCGGTCGTATTTTCTTAAATACCTTTAAAATATGACCCACTGGTGGCCAAAGGGCACTTTAACGCAATATAACCGGAAGCACAACACCTGATGCACCTTACAACAGATTTATTTAAGGTAAGGCGATGCACTAGCACTGGACTGATGGATTCCAGATGTGTTTTCGCTTTCGTTAATTCTAAAACGGCATTCACTTATTTTATAACCCACTTTTCCACAAAACTGACACTTTATTGTAGTTGATGATTTATGTCCTTTTGCATAAGATGAGGTAGAATCCTCTTAAGTTAAAGCGGCTTTCCGCTTACCATACGAGAATGCCTTTAACTCACTTTGCAATTGAGCCCTGTTTTTTATACTGGTGGTGAATAATAATCGCTTCAGTCGATTATCAAATTGGGCCATGTGTGCTAATACGGCCGACACCGTTATTTTTTCGATGCTCATTGACTTCCATCTGGACGTAAGATATGTCATGAGGCGGCTATTATAGGACAAAAGACATTCACTTTCTTTAGGACGACCGTTGAACATATTAATTAAAGTGGCAGCCAATGGATTTTTGGATAAACACATATCAACAGTAGAACACCAGGAAATAAGGTCAGCACTTGGATCCTCCGGGTTAAACTTCTGTAATGATACTCTGGGTACACTAGCTGGTGTAGTTTTAATTGCACTTATTAATTCCATCATATTTTGGTTTTTTGATGTTCCAAAAAAAGGCACTATTGTTTCTGTGATACTCCAGGCTCTGGAGTCGATCCCGCTTCTGAGGTCGAATCGGTGTTTTTCGGAGCCGCGTTACTTGGACTTGGACATCATTCACAACAATCAAACACTAATAATATATCTAACTAGACAAAACGATAGACGCTAAAGATTATACGCACAAAGTAAATTAAAGTATGAAACTAACGATTATAACGAATCTGCGGTCTCCGGGTTTACACGCGTCTTTACTGTCTTATTGCCCGATTAAGAATGACCATCCAACCCCCCCGAGGGTTGGTACATATCCACCTTTTTGGATCTTTATCTCTACGTTCCCACGAGACCGTGGCTACGTATGGTGATCGTTAGTCATCACCTTCACTAATGCATCCTTATCGGACTGCAGACATAATAACTGTTCCTCTAAAATCTATTTCTTAAGTCTTATTTATGATAAACAGCATTGCTTATTTTACCAAATTGTTATCTATAAACATGCCATACAAATTAATGTCTATTCTCCGACATATACATTGCTTCAAAATCTATAGTGGTATCACAACCTAAAAAACACCACTTGATATAGGTATTTCGTAAATGTGCGACACCCTGTATAAAATTAAAATAATTTTAAATTGTAGCTTTAATGGTTGTCCTTTTATTCATTAAATAAAATTTTTTAAAAACTATAAATTTAGCTGTCAGTACAACATCATCGCTCCTACGGGCGACACGTGCGTTTCTCCGCTCTGAACTAAAAGTATACAGTGCATAAGCAGTGCATTTAAAACCTATATATCTAAAAGTTTAAAAGTGTACAGTGAATTGCCACCCCACCTGTCGGAGTCACGGATCCACCCACCTGAACAGGTGGTTCACCGCGGCATGAACCTGGCAGAGAACCTGGAAGAGACATCTGCCATATTCAGATAAGTTTTTTAATATTTGCACGTCGCTAATTGCGTCCCGCTTTCCACTAGCCTAAACTGGGCTTATGGCCAGACCCGGCGACAAAAATCCGGGAGTGGGCTTAACCATCGACATTGTCATCCACAACCTCCTAGGGTAGATCTACCAGACGGCGTAAAAATTCGGATCCAACAAACACAGGTAATGCTGTGCAGTGCGGGATACGTACACTGTTCAAAATTTCATGACCATTTTAACACCAAATTAACACCAAACATGGTCTATATCGATACAAACCAAAATGGTGTTAAATAAGGTCCGTTGGCCGGTGTAAATTCAAATACTAAAATGGTGTTCATTTTAACTTTCACACAGTATTAAAATAAATTTTATTTGGTGTAAATTGAACTCCTTTTCAGTGTTAAATATTATGTGTTTGTGGACAAATTAAATCATACTACACAGAAAAAAGGGAAAAAAAAGGAAACAGGAAATTCCTTGACGCATTACTAGTATATTACCAGTGGTATTATTCCAGAAAATGGAACCTTCAACTCGCTAGAGATAATGTTTTTAGTGCGTTGCACTAACTTAAAATACTTTAAGTATTGACAGCTGTTTCCACCTATTTAAGGTCTCTTTAGTATCGAACAACTTGTAGTGTCACACCAAAGCAAAGGATTACCTCAGTTTATATATTCTTCATGTAAGTCAACAGACGCGAGATTTAAGAACATCACGTGATCCACACCGCCTTTGCCGCGATCGGTACACATTTTCAACCATAATTTATGGTGTTAAATTAACACCACTTGGTGTTGGATTTTTACACCATTTTAAGATTACTTTTTACACCACAGATATTTTAAACAGTGTAGGAGAACGAAAAGGTGGTAAAATAACCCTGGGAGATTAGTGTAAGGTGTTATCGATGGGGCCTGCCATACGTCCCCATACTCATACTCACACATTTAGCTGTTATTGACGCCGTCATCTGAAAAAACACCGAGCCTATTTTCAAAATCTGTAGAATTTTTTTATTGGAAAGAAAAATATTTAAATTTTGTCGTACGAGTACGAGGAACTTCATATAGGTTGCTGGCCATTGATAGATTCATGCCATTTTGTACCGTATTCTTCTGAATATGTAAGTATTTTGTTGTCCATTTTTTTCTAAAATTAACAAATACATAAAATATATATTATAATTATATATTTTATTTATTTGTTATTTATTTGTTTATATATTCAGAAGAATCGATGAAAATGGCTCTTCAGGTGGTAAAAAATGGCATGAATCTATCAATAATTATAATTTTATTTTTTAAAAGAAAATATTCCAAAAATTTAAAACCAATATTGTCAGCTACTGGAGCATTATAATACTGAAGTATTGAACCAGGGCCTGATAACTTGTCAGCTTTAAGAAAAATTAATTTTGAGAGTCCCAGTACCTGTCATTATTAAATATAACCTTAAAATATCAAAAATATCGACAAAAAAATAATAATTATGTTAAAAATATACTAATGCTTAAGTTAAAATAAATATTTACCTTTCATATAAACTTGGACGGTAACTTGCGCTTTTAAATATCACCACTTTCTTAACGAAACATTTAACAATTGACACACCGTTGATAGTATCAACTTGATACTATCCCCAAATGGCGCCGTTTAAAAGAACTGTCAAAATACAGTTTCCTTTTTTATAAAATAATGTATATGAGTCAAATCACGGATTTTGAAAATAATCACATTATTGTGTAGTAGGCATGACTCATATGTCACAGTAAAAAAATTGTTTTAAAATTCGTTTTTTTGGTAATGTTATTAAGGTTGACAATTTTGTCAAACTTTAGAGCACGGTAAAATTGAAAAAATAGAATCTCTGGGACCACTCTGTATAATTGAATTAAATTTTACACACTATTGTAGAAATGTTTAGAGTATATGAGTACCTTAGATGCAAAACTCGGTTTTTGCAAATTAAAAAATAAAATAAAATTGACTTTAAATTCTGTTTAGTGTTCGTCCTAGATAAATGGCGTTCATAAAACTTGATACATAATAATATTATATTATATATATTATTATGTATCAAGTTTTATAAACGCCATTTATCTAGGACGAACACCAAACAGAATTTAAAGCCAATTTTTTTTTTTTTTTAAATTTGCAAAAACCGAGTTTTGCATCTAATGTACTCATATAATGATCATTTAATTAAGGTTAATTTGTTTAAATTAAAGAATTTTGCATACATTTATTATAAACAATTGAAATTTTGTATGTGTTCTTCACGCTGAAAAAAAATTAATCTTGTGTCATAATATGCGGCAAACGTTTCCGTTTAATAAGATGTACTCAAAAATTTGCCTTTCATATGTCATTCCGGAGATATTAATTTTTTTGTCCCGCTGTGCGCTTGATCAGTACGCGGCGCGCTTCGCTGCTAGCTCGTCAGCACACGGTGTGCCTGAACGAAGTTTAAGTCACATAAAAATTCCGCAGTTTCTTGTTCGGGACCCTTTGGTGACTTAAAAATGATATTTACCAAAATCCTAGCTGCTCCTCTTTTCGAAATTTTTTGAAAAATCTTTTTTCTGCATTATGCTTTTTATTATATAAAAAAGTGATTTTTGTCTAACCCTGTATAAATCTAAGCATATATATAAAAACAGTTTCTCTCGTTTACAATATCGGTGTACAAATTTGTACTCTGGCAAAGGTAGACTTTGCTATAAACAAATAATTTTTAAAAAATTGAATTTTTTACAAATTAAAAAAAACAGTTAGAATTTTGGTAAATATATTTTTTAACTTCAACCAATTTTTCGTTCAAAATTGAAAACTACTAAAAAGCCTAAATTAAACAACATTTTAAATACTCTCTAAGCGTTATTTTATTAAATGTGATTACAAATGTATTTTTCTTGTAAAAGGTTAATAATAATGCCATTTTGTAACCTGATAGACCTAGAAATATCTAAAAAAATTGGGAATAAATATTTTTCGCGTGTTATGCTAAAATCATGAATTTACGCTTTTGCATTATTAAAAATAAGTGATTTTTGGCTAACCCTGTATATATGCCATCGCATAAATATTTATAGAGTTCAAAGAAGATTCTTAAAATACATGTATCTCTTAATTTATGGAACGTACCCAGAACAAAATGCTAACCTGGACAGTATTATGAATGAATACAAAATAATGCACTTGGACACAAGGCGAGATTTGCAAAGTGCACTTTTTTTAACGAAATTGGTAAGGGGTACAGTTGACTGCGAATACTTACTATCGAAGATTCAGTTTCATGTTCCGAGGAACAACTCAAGAACTTCTGTCTCCTTTCAAATTCCCACTGCCAGAACAAATATTTTATCAAAAGCACCAATAACAACCATGTGCAAAAATGGAAATGAGTTATTAGTTGATATATTTAAATAATAAGGATATTGTTTTTTTTATTATTTTATTTCTTAAGTTTTTGTATTGTATGTTCGATATATTTGTTTTAAATATGTGTTATACAGGGTGTCCCAGAACTCGCGCCACATAGAAAACCGGAACGTGCCGAAAGTAACGTGAAACACATATTTGAAAATTAAAATTGTCTAACGCAAAGGATAAGCGAGATAAGAATAAAAAACGATAGCCAATCCCAATAGATGGCCATAGGGAATTCTTTAAATTGCTAGGATACTTAGGTTGCATTGTTGATAATAAAAAATATGTAAAATATTTGGTCCACTGGAATCCAATTCATTGTGACACTGCTGTCAAACTCCTGTCATTAATATTATATTAGGTTATAAATTAAGTTATTATAAATAATGTTTTCCTTAGATGATTATACTGAAATGATAATTATTTATTTATTTAGTGTGGGCGCAACGCCAGGGAGACAACGCGAGTTTTTTCCCAGCCCTTTCCTAATCGTTATTTTAGAACATTGTCGTTCTGAAGTATAAGTCATAGATTAATAACCTCATTTTTGAAAGCTTTTGACAACTTAGTAAATACAGTTGGCCAAAAGATTTTTAAATGTTTTTAATACAACAATGTTCTATCGTCTCCTAGCAATTTTTAAAGCTCTTACGTTTAACCTAGGCCGCCTAGGCTAGGCGAGAGCTCTCGGTATTGGCTGCCGCTTTTTTGCTCTCATTCGATTACACTATTACCTAGAAATTTTTTATTTTTAAATTTGGCATCTCCATTGCTATCGGCACGCCCCCTTTTTCTCTGTGGCGCGAGTTCTGGGACACCCTGTATATATATTTGTTATATATATTTATACCATTGTCCTGTAATTGGGAGAATCCTGTTGGGCAATAAAGATTATTATTATTATTATTATTATTATTATTATTATTATTATTATTATTATTATTATTATTATTATTATTATTATTATTATTATTATTATTATTATATATCAAATGATGTGAACAGTATTAAAAAATATTCTCTAAGTCTCCTAAATAATATACTCCAATTTTATAAAAATCCGTGTGCAAATGTGTACTCTGTCAAAGAGATAAACAAAAATTTAAAAAAAAATCATGAATTTTCGAACAATTTCGAAAAAAGGAGCATCTAGAACTTTGGTAAATATCATTTTTAAGTCACCAAAGGGTCCCGAACAAGAAACTACAATCAGTTTTTGGCGGCATTTTTATGTGACTTAAACTTCGTTTAGGCACACCGTTAAACCGTTCGAACGGACGAGCTATCAGCGAAGCGCGCCGCGTACTGATCAAGCGCACAGCCGGACAAAAAAATTAATATCTCCGGAATGACATATGAAAGGCAAATTTTTGAGTACATCTTATTAAACGGAAACGTTCGCCGCATATTATGACACAAGATTAATTTTTTTTCAGCGTGAAGAACACATACAAAATTTCAATTGTTTATAATAAATTTATGCAAAATTCTTTTATTTAAACAAATTAACCTTAATTAAATGATCATTATATACTCTAAACATTTCTACAATAGT